CCTCCTGAGAAATGTAGGTCCTGCTTGGCATTTTCTTCCAAAACAGGCCTGTTTCATCACAATTAAACACTTGTTCAGGTTTCAGTCCTTCATTGTCTATATACTCCTTGAATTCCTGCACATATTTTTCAGCTGCTTTGTGGTCCGAACTGGCAGCCCTCACCATGCCTTATCACACTATGTATACCACTACGTTCTTAAATCTCTCAAAAACCCAAACCTTGCTGGCCTTAAATTCACTCCATCATCACTAGTTGCAGGCATTTTTTTTAATTAAATTCTCATGCAACTTCCTAGCCTTTCACTTATGATCACTTGAGAGATGCTATCTCCTGCTATCTGTTTTTCATTTATCCATACCAATAAGAGTCTCTCAACATCTTCCCATCACTTGCGATCTCTGTTTCGAAAACACAGTTGAACCTTTGGCAAGAACAGCTTCCTTGATTGCCGTTTTTTTGGACACAATAGTAGCGATGGTTGTTTGGGGGTTTTCTATACAAACCTGGCCAGCTTGGAGACACGCACTCCACTTTCATACTTAGCAATGATCTCTTTCTTCATCTCTATAGTAATTCTCACCCTTATTCCTGTGGGGTTGGCATAGAAGCTTTCTTGGGGCCCATGGTCACTTATTTTGCAGATAAAATCACCAAAAACACTGTAATAATACGAAATGTTCCGATTGTATGCTTGGATGTTACTGCGGAGGCTGGCTGGTAAACAATGCCACCGGCGGAACATATGAGGCTGGCTCAGGCCGCACATTAGACGCGTCTCGGACAAATAGCGTTGAGCGGATTTTTTAGCGGTATGCGAGGCAAAATCTTAGCGATGAAATGTATTGGTATGCGGATTTAACGTTATGTGATGCCAACGGTATGCGGGGGTCCACTGTACTCACTCAGTGCGATTTGTTCAAGACGCGTCCACGTGCGGCCTGAGCCCGCCTCACTTGTTCCGTGGGTGTCAGTGTTTACAAGCCAGCCACTGCGGTCGCTTCCAAGCATACAATCGGAACATTTCATATTGTCACGGTCTTTTTAGTGATTGCACCTGTGTGAAGGCTTACTCAGCCCTGTAACAACTTCAGACAGTATTACTCAGGCTGGCTCCTCCTCAGGAAAATTAATGAATAGAAAAAGAAATAATAATTCACAAAGATAAACACTATTTATTAAATCAAACATAAAACAACAAAACATGAAAGGTATATCCTATTTGAAAGAAAAATGAAAAATGAAATGAATAAAATAACATTTGAACTCAACACTAATATCTACAATGGTGTCTGGTGTTGGTGACACTGTTGTTGAAACTGTAGCCGTTGCTGATGATAAGGGGGGGGGGGCGCAGGTGTTGGTGACCATCCACTGGCTAGTTCTTCACAGTATAAACCCGTGAGTATTCTATCCCGAAGACAGGAAAGCAGGTTCTTTACCGCTGCAATGCTGTGGAGTTACGTCCTGCAATTTCTACAGGTGCACAGGTACTTCATACAACCTGGAGAAGGTCTCGGACGTTAGTCCTTCTCCTGTTCTACTCGTTGATTGCCAGGTGACCCTCTCTGACATCCAAGCTGGAAAGATAGACAGGTTACCCACTGCTTAAATAATCACTCTTCATGGTAGTGTACAATATTCAAAAGACGTGGTGATTATTACAACAGCAACCTAGAGCAAGACTGAAAGGACTAAGTTTATTATTGGTCAAAAGTGAAGCTTTCAACCAATAAATCCCCTAGAATACAAAGGCCGGCAATGTACTTACAGTAGAGTTGGGAGCTGTGAGTCTAGTGATTTACTGTTTTAAAAAACCAGAGCCCCACACGTCACCTTTCGGGGGGGGAGAAGAGGGAGGGGAAGGGATAGCAGGAGCAAACTGACCCTAACTTAACAAGTAGCCGGTCAGACGAAACATCAATTTCAGGAGGGGGAGAAAAGGCGGAAAAACGGTAGCGTGGCCTTAACCCTACTAACTAGTAGCCGGCAGACAAACTATCAATTTCAGGGAGGGGGAGAAAAGGCGGGAAAAACGGGAGATTGACTTACCCTACCTTAACTAGAAGCCGGCAGTGAAACTACTGATACTATATATATTCCTTCTATACCCTCTCTATTGAACTTTTCCCTCACAACCTGCAAAATAAGTCATCATGGGCCCCAAGAAAGCTTCTAGTGCCAACCCTACATGAAAAAGAGTGAGAATTACTATGGATACGAAGAAAGAAATCATTGCTAAGTATGAAAGTGGAGTGCGTGTCTCCGAGCTGGCCAGGTTGTACACAAAACTCCGATCAACCATCACTACTATTGTGGCCAAGAAAACGGTAATCAAGGAAGCTGTTCTTGCCAAAGGTGCAACTTTGTTTTCGAAACAAGAGATCACAAGTGATAGAATATGGTGAAGACTGTTATTGGTGTGGATAAACGAAAACAATAGCAGGAGATAGCATCTCTCAAGCAATCATATGTGAAAAGGCTAGGAAGTTGCTTGAGGATTTAATTAAAAATGCCCTGCAACTAGTGGTGATGTGAGTGAGATTTACGGCAAGCAAAGGTTGGTTTTGAGAGATTTTAAGAATGAGTGGGGCCCCATACATAGTGTGATAAGCATGTTGAGGCTGCCAGTTTCGGACCCACAAAGCGGCTGAAAAATATGTGCAAGTAATTCAAGGAGTACATTAGACAAGTGAAGGACTGAAACCTGAAACAAGTGTTTAATTGTGGACAAACAGGCCTGTTTTGGAAGAAAATGCCAAGCAGGATCTACATACTCAGGAGGAAAAGCCTCTCCCAGGACATAAGCCTAAGAAAGACAGGTTTACTTCTGATGATGTGTGCTAATGCCTAGTGGTGATTGCAAAGTGAAGCCTTTATTGGTATCACTCTCTGAAACTCCCAGAGTGTTCAGGAAAAACCATGTCCTCAAGGCTAATTTGTGTGTGCTGTGGAGGGCAAATAGTAAGGCATGGGTCACTAGGGACTTTTTCTATGACTGGTTACACCATGCATTTGCCCCCACTGTGAAAAATTACCTCCTGGAAAATAAATTGGACCTTAAGTGCCTCCTGGTATTAGACAATGCTCCTGGTCGTCCTTCAGACGTGGCAGAGCGACTTTCTTCGGAAATGAGCTTCATTAAGATCAAGTTTTTGCCTCCTAATACCACTCCTCTCCTGCAGCCCATGGACCAGCAGGTTATTGCAAACTTCAAAAAACTCTACACAAAAGCTATGTTTGAAAGGTGCTTTGTAGTGACCTCAGAAACTCAATTGACTCTAAGAGAGTTTTGGAGAGATCACTTTAATATCCTCAATTGTGTAAACCTTATAGGTAAGGCTTGGGAGGAAGTGACTAAGAGGACCTTGAACTCTGCTTGGAAGAAACTGTGGCCAGAATGTGTAGACCAAAGGGATTTTGAAGGGTTTGAGGCTAACCCTGGGAATCCTATGCCAGTTAAGGAATCTATTGTGGCATTGGGAATGTCCTTGGGGTTGGAGGTTAGTGGGGATGATGTGGAAGAGTTGGTGGAGGAGGACAATGACGAAGTAACCACTGATGAGCTGCTAGATCATCTTCAACAGCAAGAGGCCAGACCTGAGGAAGCTGCTCCAGAGGAGGGGAGAGAGAAATTGAAGAAGTTGCCTACTTGAAAGATTAAGGAAAATGTGTGAATGTGGCTTAAAGTGCAAACCTTTTTTGATGGGCAATCACCCTAACACAGCTATTGCAAGCCGTGCTGGTGACTATTACACTGACACTGTTGTGAAACACTTTAGGAAAGTCATAAAGGAACGAGAGGTACAGGCCACTATGGACAGATATGTTGTGCGACAGAGGTCCAGTGACTCTGAAGCTGGTCCTAGTGGCATTAAAAGAAGAAGGGAAGTAACCCCGGAAAAGGACTTGCCACCTCAAGTCCTAATGGAAGGGGATTCCCCTTCTAAACATTAACACCATCCACACTCTCCCCTCCTCCCATCCCATCAGTCATCACCAGATCTTCAATAAAGGTAAGTGTCATGTAACTGTGCATGTCTTCTTCAGTTTGTGTGTATTAAAATTAATATTTCATGTGGTAAAATTTCTTTTTTTTTTCATTCTTTGGGGTGTCAGGAATGGATTAATTTGATTTCCTTTATTTCTTATGGGGAAAATTAGTTTGGCTAACGATAATTTCACCTAATGTTGAGCTCTCGGAAACGGATTAATATCGTTAGGCGAAGGTCCACTGTATATACAGGAGAAAAGGTTACTAGCTCCTTGCTCCCAGCATTTTAGTCGCCTCTTACAACACGCATGGCTTACGAAGGAAGAATTCTGTTCCACTTCCCCATGGAGGTAAGAGGAAATAAACAAGAACAAGAACTAGAAAGAAAATAGAAGAAAACCCAGAGGGGTGTGTATATATATGTTTGTACATGTGTGTGTAGTGTGACTTAAGTGTAAGTAGAAGTAGCAAGACGTACCTGAAATTTGCATGTGTATGAGACAGAATAAAAAGACACCAGCAATCCTACCATCATATAAAATAATTACAGGCTTCCGTTTTACACTCACTTGGCAGAACGGTAGTACCTCCCCAGGCAGTTGCTGTCTACCGACCTACTACCTAGGTACACATACATGTACAAGCATATATATGCACACACCTCTGGCTTTTCTTTTATCTTCTTACTAGTTCTTGTTCTTGTTTATTTCCTCTTATCTCCATGGGGAAGTGGAACAGAATTCTTCCTCCATAAGCTATGTGTATCGTAAGAGGCAAATAAAATGCCGAGAGCAAAAGGCTAGTAACCCTCTCTCATGTATATATTACTAAATTTAAAAAGAAAAACTTTCATTTTTCTTTTTAGGTCACCCTGTCTTGGTGGGATATGGCTGGTTTGATGAAAAATAAAACATTATTATTTTAATATAAAGCCAAACACCAAATCTGTATGGGTCATTAGTATCCCTCTCGTGTACAAATTATAACGTTCTTTTAATTATTTACAGGGTACCGATCAAGAACTGAACATTGACAGTGAAACGTTTGAAGTTCGGCCTATGAAGATAAAGGCCAGGCCTAGTGCCGTCACCATTTTTGCCCCAGCAGATCCCCCATTTACTGCCCATAGTGGTTAAAATTTATGTAAATTAACATTTTTATAGAGAATAGTGTTTTAAGAGATGGTTTTGAGTTAGTGATAAATATTGTTGTTACTGTGTACTTAAAAGAGAAGCCATGAATACCTGGTTAATAAAATTTATCTTCAAGTTATTTGTAAAACAATTAATTTTAAAATGAGATTTTTATTTGTAAAGATAATTACAGTGAAACCTCTGTATAACAGACTAATGGGAGGAAGGAAATGTCTGTTTAAACAAAGATCCACTGTCAAAATGCCCAGTGCAATGAACTGGTACCATTGTACATGCACTGCCATGAATAAAATCTTAATGTAGTGGGCTTAGTCTGTTGTATGAAGAACCTACAAGATACACACATTATCACTAACAAAATGTTAATGTAGTGGGCTTAGTCTGCTGTATAGAAAACCTACCAGATACACTACCACTAACAAAATCTTAATGTAGTGGGCATAGTCTGTTGTACTGACCACTTCTTCTACAAGATTTTTTGTCCACTACATCTGCAATTTGTTGACTAGAGGTCATCATATCAAGGTTTTACTGTGTATTTCTTAGTTTAGTCTTTGCACTTCTACTTTTCATAGAAATTGCTTTCTATAATTCACCCTGTTGTCTGTATAATTTCTTTTTTTCACAAACATCCACAACGCAAATTTGTGTCGACTTTTTTTGTTTTTCTTGCATAAACTTTTCTCCGAGTATTGCTTCATCACTTAACATTTTATAAGCTTCCTTGTTAGTACTAGCTAGAAACGGTGACTCAGAAACTTTGGTGTGTAATTCTAAATGCAGATGACTATTTTTGGTATCATGAAAACTGTATATTGACAGTTATATCATAATCTGAAGATCAAGTGAAAATTTAATGTATGTACTTTAAATATGATAGATTCCTTAGACCGCCCTGCTATCTATCAACCAGTGGTGACACCAAGTAAACCCAGGAGTAGATAGGGGCAAGACCCCCTAGTACGTATAGTAAAACTAGCTCAATCTCAAGCCGAGTTCCCTGCTCCTTCCTTTCAACAAAATTTGCCACCAGGAACAATTCAAGTCACAATACCGTGGCTGAAACAATTCACCAGAAGACTGCACTTAGGAGAGAAACCTTATAACAATGTTTTAGACCATTCTGGACCCATGTTGTCACAACTGTGTCTTAACGTTGGTCCAGGATGGACAATACTTTGTCATAAGGTTCCTTTTAAATTGCTATTTTTTTGGGTTTGAATCAAATTCCCCCTGTTTTTTCCCCTGTTAAAACAGTTGGGGTATCCCCTTTGTTCTCCTTTATAGAAATTGGGGCCACCTCTTAGTTCCTCCGTATAGAAAAATTGGGGGCCTCCTTAGTTCCTTCTGTATTTGAAATCGAAAACCCCCTTAGTTCCTCCCGTATAGAAAATCGGAGCACCCTTTGTTTCCCGTATAGAAATCGGGGCCATCCCTTAGTTCCCCCGATGAAAATTGGAGCCATCCCTTTTGTTCCTCTGGGTTTGAAAGTCTGGAGCATCTCTTATTTCTGTATAGAAAGTCTGGAGCCATCCCTTGGTTCTCCTTTGAAAGTCTGGAGCCCCTTGGTTCCTCCCATATAAAAGTTGAGCCATCCTTGGTTCCCCCTTAAAAAGTTGGGCCCTCCCCGGTTCCCTAATAAAAGCTGGGCCCTCCTTAGTTCTCCTGTATTTAAATTGTACCTCCTTGTTTTCCCGTATGAAAAGTTGGACCTCATTATTCCTCCTGTTTTAGAAAATCTGTACCCTCCCCTTTGTTTTCCCGTATAGAAATCGTAGCCATCCTTAGTTTTCCTGTATTTGAAAATCTGTAGCCTCCCCTTTGTTTCTCCCTTTCAGAAAATCTGTAGCCATCCCTTAGTTTCTCTGTATAGAAAATCGGAGCCCCATTAGTTTTTTCCTGTATAGAAGCTTTACCACCCTTTGTTTTCCCGTACGAAGCTGTGCCATCCCTTTGTTTCTCCTGTAAGAAAATCTGTAGATCCCTAGTTTCTCCTGTATAAAAGTCTGTAGCCTCCCCTTTGTTTCTCCCTTTTAGAAAGCTGAAACCCTCCTTTGTTTTCCTGTACAGAAAGTCTGTAGCTCCCCTTAGTTTCCTGTAAAGAAAGTCTGAGCCATCCTTAGTTTCTCCCGTATAAAAAACTGGGCATATTAGTTCCCCTGTAAGGGTGGTGCCCTTTTTTGTGGTGAAAGATTTTGTGCCCCCAAATTTTTTCAGCATCTTATAAGGTTTTTGAAGAAAACTGACGGGAAACAACCCCGTTTCCCCATCCTCCCCGCTGCAGCTTTGTGGGGGACCGGGTTTTCCCATCACTCCCTGCTGCAGCTGTTGTGTGACCTGATTACCCCCCCTCCCATGCTGCGTGTTGGTGACCCTGATTACCCCTCACTTCCCCTGCTGAGGTTGTGTGACCCTGATTACCCCATCACTCCCATGCTGCAGCTGTTGTGTGACCCTGATTACCCCATCACTCCCATACTGCAGCTGTTGTGTGATCTGGATTACCCCATCACTCCCATGCTGCAGCTGTTGTGTGACCCTGATTACCCCATCACTCCCATGCTGCAGCTGTTGTGTGACCCTGATTACCCCATCACTCCCATGCTGCAGCTGTTGTGTGACCCTGATTACCCCATCACCCATGCTGCAGCTGTTGTGTGACCCTGATTACCCCATCACTCCCATGCTGCAGCATGGGAGTGATGGAGGTAATCACCTGAATGGCAGGGTATTCACATCAGTAAGGGGGTAATCACCTACCGTCTAAGGGTATCTATGTTGTGTAAATTGTGTAAAAGACTTACATTTACTCATTTATGTAGTTGAAAAATCCCTACAATGAATACTGGGGCGATTGGGATTTGTGAATATAAAATAATTGATAATAGAAATAAAATACAGTAATGAGATGTATTGTTTTCAAAATATTGTATCATTAGTTGGAGAAAGACTTTTCCCACTTTTATTTTCTTAACATTAAAACAAACCATGGACCAGGTGGGGTTTAAACCAATGGCTTTCTTAATGTTATACAGCCTCTTCTCAATTAACAACATACTCATTTACTGACGATTTGGACATACAACGGGCTCACTGACCAGTATGCATACCTAAATAATGTATATTAGAGCTGATTTCCTCTATTCTGTTTATTACATACAAATCACTACTATATAAATCTTTAAAAATATACCAGAAATATTATAAATAGTGTAAAGGTGACATTAAAACAATATCAAAGATGGTTAAAACAAACCCACTACCATTATAGTATGCTCCTCACTTAGCGATGAATTTGTTTACCGACATGGTCTTAGGAAGGAACTTCGTCATTAAGTGAGGAGAGGTTGTATTGAACATTAAAATGGTATAAAATACCGACAGGTTGTTAGGTAAGACACATATGCAACAGTTAGGTATCTTTATTATGAAACATTTCGCCTACACAGTAGGCTTCTTCAGTCGAATACAGAAAAGTTGATAGAAGCAGAAGATACTTGTTTCATACTATGGAACAATGCTCTTCTCCAGACTGAGGGACTGACCACCTCAAAACTTTAAGGGTGATGGACTGATTACATCGTCTTCAAGTATCTTCTGCTTCTATCAACTTTTCTGTGCTCGACTGAAGAAGCCTACTGTGTAGACGAAACGTTTCATAATAAAGATACCTAACTGTTGCATATGTGTCTTACCTAACAGAGGTTGTATTGTTGTGTGTAATACACTTACTGTACAAGTTTCAATAGTTTATTAAGTGATGAGTTTACCAGATGTACACTTAGCAGAAGGTATCAGAAACACCGCTGGGACAAGTGTAGAAGTCTTCAAGAGGAAACTGGACAAGTATCTTCACCTGGTGTCAGAGCAACCAGGCTGTGATTGATATGTGGGCTAGCTGGTCACTAGCAGTAACAGCCTGGCTGATCAAGCAAGTGCCAGATGTGTCTGGCAGAAGGCCAAGTAGAAAAAAACTCAAAACTCATCAAAGGTATGGCAGATGTAGCTAGTAAGGAAATGAATTTTGAGTAAAATACCATTTCGTAACACATAAGTCGTCTCCCACTGAGGTAGGGTAACCAAAAAAAGGAAAACATATTCACCATCATTCATACAACAACTGTGTTGTCAGAAGTGTGCTGACATCACAGTTCAGATCACCCTCTGAACTGCAACATACCAACCCCTTCTGCAGAGTACAAGCACTCGATCTCCCATCTCCATAACTCAAGTTCAGCTAATCAGTTTTTCTGAATATTCTCACATACTCCAGCAGCATGTCAGGTTGTAAAAAACTTAGTCTCTATTCACTCCGAACTTACATTTTCACACAAGCAACTGACAACTCCCACTTTGTATTAGATTCATTTTCTTTTAATTCCACATCTCTACCCAACACCCTAACATTCACTTTTACAACTATAATTCTTTCTTTCTTCTTTCAACACACCGGCAGTATCCCACCGAGGCAGGGCGGCCCAAAAGGAAAAACGAAAGTTTCTCCTTTTACATTTAGTAATATATACAGGAGAAGGGGTTACTAGCCCCTTGCTCCTGGCATTTTAGTCGCCTCTTACAACACGCATGGCTTACAGAGGAAGAATTCTGTTCCACTTCCCCATGGAAATAAGAGGAAATAAACAAGAACAAGAATTAGAAAGAAAATAGAAGAAAACCCAAAGGGGTGTGTATATATATGCTTGTACATGTATGTGCAGTGTGACCTAAGTGTAAGTATAAATAGCAAGACGTACCTGAAATCTTGCATGTTTATGAGACAGAAAAAAAAAGACACCAGCAATCCTACCATCATGTAAAACAATTACAGGCTTCAGTTTTACACTCACTTGGCAGGACGGTAGTACCTCCCTGGGCGGTTGTCTACCAACCTACTACCTAGAACAACTATAATTATGTATAAGATATTTCATTAAATATGTGAAAATGAGCAACAGAAATAAGTTGTAAGCACTGTCCTACTAGCTTTACTCTGCTCTAAATATCTTCCACACGAGGCTTTCCAAACACATTGTACTTCCAGGATTGATGTGGGGAGCTCCTGAACTGTGTATAATATTCATAATACAATAAGTCTTCAATTTGCAAACACACTGGGGGGCTCCTGAATTATGTATAATAATATGCACAATAATGATATTGTAAACAACACACTTCTTTTTGATTATAATAATAATGTAAACAACACACAAGATTCTCAACGTGTTCGTAGGTAGAGCACTTTTACTGTACTCCTAAAACCTGCAATACTACATTGTATTAGGTGAAATAAAATTTGTTTATATGTAATAGA